TGCCGTCACCCCCTCTCTGGGCAGCCTGGGCCAGGGGCTCACCACCCTCAATGTAAAAAATTTCTTCCTTCTCTCTAGTCTAAATCTCCCTTTTTTAGTTTCAAACCATCCCCCCTTGTCCTGTCCCAGCAGGCCCTGCTCAAAAGGTTGTCCTCATCTTTCTGACAGGGCCCTTGAAGTCCTGAAAGGCCACCAGAAGCTCTCCCTGGAGCCTTCTCTTCTCCAGGCTGAACAATCCCTGCAGTTTTAAGAACAACTTTAGATCCAGTAGCCAGGGATCAGTCACAGAATAATTGAGGCTGAAGGGACTTCTGGTGGTCTTCCATGGGTGGAAATTCCTCTGCCAGTCGGGGTCTCAGTCCAAGTATCTGACCACCCTTTCACTGTGAGAGGTTGGGGTGTTTTTCCTAATAGGAATTTCTCTTGCTGCAACTTGTGCTTGTCTCCTCTGCTTACTGAGCACCCAAGGACAGTCTGTCTCTCTCTGTCTGCAGAACCCCAGCAGGAAGACAGCCAGCAGTGATGTCCCCCCCTCAACCTTCTCTTCCCCAAGCTGAACAAACCCAACTGCCCCTTATACTCCGTGTGCTCCACTTCCCTGACAAACTTGGTGACCTCTGCTGCGCTTGCTCCACTACCTCAACCTCTGCCTTGTTCTAGAGAGCTCCAAAAACTGACGTGCACTTCTCTCACCACTGCTGAGCAAGGTGGAGGTCCTACCTTTAACCTCCAGTCTGGCAGTGGTCTTCCCATCAGCTGTGTGGCAGCTGTAGTCCCCGGAGTCCGCCTGGTTCAGGTCATGGATGACCAACGTGTGCACGTTCCCCTCCTGCTTGATGGAGCACTTCTGGCTGGAGTGGATCACAGAGGTGCCTTTCTTCCACTCCACGGGGACATCAGGCTTGGACACCTCACAGGACAAGCGGGCCGTGCCACCCTCCTGGAGCTCCAAGCTGTGGAGCAGCTTTACAAAGGTGACTGGAGCAACTGCAGGGAAGAGAGTACCAACATTGCTGCCACCCCCTAAACCAGCCTTGCCCCCGGGTCAGTAATGGGCACTGATAGTTACGTGTTAAGCCAGCTCAAAGAGGAGCAAACAAGATAGGTGTTGACACAGCCCACCTTTCCAAATCGTTCTATAGAACTTAATTGAAAGGTTTTTCCAGAGTTTTTGGACTTTTTTTTGGACTAAATATGGTCTAAAATCATCATAAGGATTAATTCAGAGCATATTCTTGACGTTCTTCAGGATTGATTCTGACATTCTGATCTTAGCTGCTTGGTTTGGGATATGTTGGGTGACCTTCAAGGTATGTTTGCTTCACTTCATGTGCTAGAAAAAAAGACTGAAACCACTAGCTCAGATGTATACATCTAATTCTTAAATGTCTAACGTAGCTCAGCAGAATCTCCCAAAATCTCCAAGGACCCCCTCCTCCCAAAGACACCTCTCCAGAAGCTACAGCAACGTTGCCAGTGCTTACCAGCACCTCCTCAAAACCTCTTCCTAGAAGGTTGCTCACCTTGGACCGTCAGCTGCGCTGCCGAGGTGTGCTGCCCAACTTTGAAACTGATGGGCCCACAGTCCTCCAGGGTCACCTTCCTCAGGATCAAGGTGTGACGTGTGCCTTGGACTCCGATCTCATTCATCTCGTTGGACTGCAGGGGAACATCACCCAGGAACCACTGGGCCTCCTGAGTTGTTTCCCGGGACAGCCTACATTCAAACACTGCATCTTCTCCTTCGTAGGAAGTGACGTCCTTCAGCTCCTCCACTATGGTGGCTGCTGGTTCTTTACAGAAAGGTCAACAGAGTTGGATACCTACTTTCAAGGGATGCTCCCTGGGTTAAACATTTCATTAAGCTTTTTCTTGACATGAGCACATGATTGGAGAGAACAATCACAAGGCACTAAAGACATGGAAATGCAGCTACACAGACATGTAGTCACCTCCTATGTTCTTAGAGAGCCATCATGTGTGTGTGCATATCATGAACATGTCAGACAGGTGGTCTATAAAGCATGCATCTTATACTCTAATGTGTGTATAAGAAATAGATAATCATTATAAATATATATTTGAAATGCAATCTCTGCATTATGAAATTATTGTCACAGAATCACAGAAT